TAGGCAGGCAAGATGAAACAGCAACACACAATTAAACAAATGCAACACATGTTCACATAGTTAAACAAGCATCCTATTCCACAACATATCTTCAGTCCTATGAATTATTTTAAAAGCCATCTATAACAAGAATGTTTCGCTGTTCTAAAATTTACTCACTCTTCCATGGTTAGAATGGAAGCTATTTCCAGTTCTCTATGAGCTATCCTCCAATGAACAGACACACAGTAAAATCTTTGTACGAGGAAGTTGACACCTACACTTCAAATATATTTAACTGTGGCAACCAAAATGGCAGACAGAACAGCTAGAAACTAACAAACTGAATAAGTAGCAGTGAAAACTAATAACAGATAGATGAAATTAAACAGACATACATAGTAGTGCACAGAGGATTTACATCAATACCATTCTAAGGCTTTTGCAAGTATGTTGAGATTCAATCCTCAACACAGCCCTAGAGGGCGGGAGATGTGCTTAGTTAGAAAAGTCCTTGCTGCACAAGAATGAGGACAGAAGTTCGATTCCTCCAAACCCATGTAAAAAAGTCGGGTGTCGACAGGTGGTGGTGGCTCACACCTCTAATCCCTGGAGGCAGAGGTAGTTGGATCTCTGAGTTCAGGGCTAGCGTAGTCTACAAGGTGAGTTCCAGGACAGTTAGAACAAAGCAAAGAAATCCTATTTTCGAAAAGAGTGAGGGAGGGGGAGAGGGAGAGGGAGAGGGAGAATGTCCATGTGTCGGTGTAATTCCAGCACTGGGAGATTGGGACAGGCAGATTCCTTGAGGCTCAGTGGCCCGCCAAACTAGCCCAATAAGGGACCTCCAGGACAATGAGAGACAGTGTCTGGAAAAACAAGGCTTTAGGTCCCTAGGGAATGACAACATAGGGTTGACCTCTGGCCTCCACAGGCTCTAGCACATACACTCATGCAGAGAGGAAGAAAGGAGAGAGTAGAAGAATGGCAATGGGGATGAGGGTGTGATCTGGAGAGAGAGAGAGAGAGAGAGAGAGAGAGAGAGAGAGAGAGAGAGAGAGAGAGAGATTTGAGTGCAAGTTCTGCTTGCAGCTGGTGGAAGGAGGAAAACCTCCCCAGCGGTCCTCCTCTTCCACCCTGTTTAAGACCTTGTTTTCCTCCTGTGCTGCTGGGGATTCTCCCCAGTCCCCATGGGAACGCTGGCATAACAGATTCCACGTTATTGCGTCCTGCTTTGCGGGACTGAAAATTCATGCTGTCCCGACGGCGAAGCGCTTTACTACTGATCCATCTCCTCTTAAAGGGTTCGATAAGTCTGGGGATCAAGCCAAGTCATGAACAGAGAGACCTTTGGGGACCGCTGCAGAGCCACCTAGAACAGACTTTACTCTGAAACAGCAGGCTGCGCCTGCCTATTAGGGATTCAGTACCAACGTGCACCTCGGAGGGACCCTAATGTACCTTTACACAGCGCAATCTGTTTTGTACTTTGATCACACAGGACTTTGTTCTCAAAGAGCCGGTGCAAATTCTGTCACACAGAGGAGTCATGGTGGGAAACCCATGCCCATTCAACTTCCCTATTCATCCTATACCCCCATTCCACGGACTTTTCATGACTGTAATCTTTCTGCATTTCTTACCAACAACCGTTGACCAGTATAAATTCTGATTGGAGCATACGTCCATATCCCATTTATTTATTTTAAATTTCTGATCCGAAATCTAAGTGGCAAAATCAAGTAGAGCTCGGCTAACGGGAGAGGCCCCGCCTCACCTCGGGCGTGGGAATTTCGGATCAGCACTTAAGCGCACTTCTTTGAAATCCAGCCCAGTGGCTGGAGGTGAGGTCCCTGGGGACCCCGCGTCCCCCTAGGCGGCCAGGTGTCGCCGCGCAACAGCTCCCCGAGCCTTGGGCAGCTCTTCGCGGGCGGGAATGAGGGTCTGTCCAGGTCCCCTGCCCTCTCCTGAGGGGGGTGATGCGTGTGCGCGCCTCCCCACTCATGTCCAAACAAGGAAGAGCGGGAGGCGGGCGGGCGGGCGCGCGCACGCGGCGGGCCGGGGCGGCGGGTCTGCGGGGCGCGGGGCTCCGCCCGCGGGGCAACCTCCGGCGGCGCGTGCGCCGTGCGCCCCAGCCGGCCGCAGCGATGCCTATTTTAGTCAAAGCGGCCGCGAGCGGGGAGCTGGCCCGGGCCGCGCCGCCTGGGGACCCTCCGCGAGCCCGTCGAGCCGCCGCTCCCCGCTGCCGCCGCCGCCGCCGTCGCCGTCGCAAACTTGGCGCGCGCCGCCCGCGCCCGCCACCGGGACGCCCCAGGTAAGGGACCCGAGCGCCGGCTCACGCGGGAAAGTTGGGCCCCGAGCCACCGAGCAAGTTGCCGCGCGCGCCCACTCCGCGCCGTCCTTGCAGCCGCCCTTCGCTCGCCCGCGCCCCGGGGCCCTCGGCCGGACGGAGCAGGGTCGGCGAGCTGCGGGCGCTGACACCGTTCCCCGAGCGAGGTGAGCGAGCCCCCGGGTGGCGTGCAGATGGCCGGGAGCCACGGGGCCTCGCCCCCGGCGCGCGCCCTCCTTAGGGAAACGGGAGGTTGCCGGACTGATCCTCTAAACGGGAGGCTCCAGAGGGAAAAACATAGCCACGAGATGCCGCTGGCCGCCCGAGGGGCGCACAGGGAATTACGTCTACTCGCAAGGCTTTTTTTACTTCTTGCTGTTCATCTTCACTTTTTTTCCCCCTGTAAATTGGTCAAGGTTTAATGTTAGCTTCCTCATTCAGCAGTTTAGAACTGCAAACGCCTATTTGAAAACGAATAGATGGGCCCGATTTTCCTACAGTAAGTAATTTAAGGAGTTGGACTTTAGGGATCTGATGAGAAAGGTAATGTTTCGATTTAGTCAAAATTAATCTGACAGTATACAAATTCACTCACCAATCTAACCTTCTTCATTAGACACATCATTCATTCTCCGTATAAGGCATATCACTGTTGACCCTTTAAACCCATTAAGTAGTGATTAAGCCCAAACCCGTTAGATTCATCATGGAATATAAAAAATAACTGATTTTGAAAGACAGTAAACACTTTCATGGGTGTATTTCATAATAAAACACTTTAATGTGTATTTTTATATACCTGCAGCTGAGCCTATAATTTGTATATCTTTAATAAAGTGTAACACATCAACATATGTCCTATGTTTAAAACTGTTCTTAGGGCTGGTGAGAGAGCCCAGCCAGTAAAGGCACTAGCAGGCAAGCCGGAAACATGAGGCATATACCCAGCACCCACGTGGTGGAAGGGGAGATTCTCCAGATATCCGCCCCCTGACTTGTGCACCCACCCACCCCTCGGAAATGAATAAATACACGTAATACATTTTAATGGTTATTAAGATTTTCTTGTTTTGAGGCAGACTATAGATTCCTCGTCAATTTCCTTTCTACAGAAGTTTAAGCTCTTAATCCTACATTTAGAACCCCCCCAAGGACCTGAAAGTGAGCTAAGTGGATTAGGAGGCACCACAGGTGACGTATGAGAAGAAGTTTGTGTAGATTAATTCAGTACATAAATCTGTTGTAGAACATCAGAACTCGAAGGAGGTTTTAAGGCCATGTAGTCTGGCTGTCTTTGTTCTAAGGGAAAACAGACCGAGGAGGGAAGCAGCATTCCCTGGCTTAGGTGGCTCCCTGGTGGCTTGTGGGATGGTTTTTCTGTCTCATCGCATCGGGCTCGTCCTCAGTGACAGCACGGAGAGGCGTTGGAAAGTATAGGTCCTTCTCTACCATCCCTGCCTCCCACAGGCGTTGGGTAGCTATAGCAAGCAGGAGGCAGGAATGGCACTCATACTTCAGGTCTTGGAACCAGCCCTGGTTATTATGAGTCCCCCATCATAATAAACTTATTTTTTAAAAGACTTTTGGAAAGTAGGTAAATTCTCATTTTTTCTTTTCTTTTTTTTTTTCCAGAAAATCAGTAATTGAGTTCACTTACTATTTGTGAACTGTTTGGGGTGGATGTGTAGTGGTAGACGCTCCCTTGACAGCATCTTTAAAACCCCGTGTTTGATGCTCAGCACCACAAAACAAATGTCACAAAAGTAAATGTTCACTCACATCGTTCATATTTATAAATTTGTTTCTAATCTTAAGATGTATAAAATTTATCCACATATACTTCCTTGTCTAACATCTTTTATTTGTCCACACATACCACTTAAAGTCTTCACTATGTTAAAAACGTGAATTTCTTTATTTCGAAAGATGTATATGTTACTCAATTAAAGTTAAAGATATTTTGGGTCTTCATTTGACTTTAAAAAATGAAATAGATTCACTAATGTCTTCTGTAAACTTACACAGTTTTTGTCAAGGACAAATTTGTGTAATTAATAATGAAGGTTTTTTTGTGCATGTGGAGCAGGGACCTGTATATATATACAGGACAGAGTGTTTGTGTTGTTTTATATAAATGCATGTAAAATGTATATTTAAAATGAGATGTATTTACTATGGTGCTTAATATCAAATATCCTTCTGTATATTCATGAACCTTCCGACATATATGTTGTACATTTACTGCTTTCTAATTTGTGAGATGTTACCAACTAGAATTATTTGAGGAATAAAAATAGAGACTTAAGTTGGAGAATAAACGAAACTTTAAATGCTATTTAAATTCATTATATGTGTATATATTAGTAAGGTATATGATTATTATTATACTGTGATAGGTATGTGGCAGTGATTTAACAATGGCACAAAATAGAGACCTCTACATATTTTAAGCTTCTAAGGAATAAATATGAGGGTGTTCACTTTTTAAAGGTTCAGAAAACCAGTTTTTTATTTGTTTGTTTTTTCTGTTTTTTCCTGTGCCTGGCTTCAGCATCCAGGTTTGAAGACTGTGAAGCCATTGTAAATGCTGTGACCCGTGGATGTGAGAGTCAGTCTTGTACACATGCTGATTCTCACCCTCTTCAGTATGTTGTGCATTCCTGACTAAACACACGCGTGTGGGCATGTGCGAGCATATGTTGCGATAGTTGTGCACTCTCTGAGATGTTTCCTGTCAACAAAAGGCAAATGGAGGATCATTATGACAGATAAAGAAACGGACATTCTTACTTGTGACAGGACTGGAGTTTGAGCCTATGTACTTGATAAGTATTGGAAGACTCTGTCGGCCAGCATGTAATTTGTAAAAATAATTTTGTCATATTGCCTGTCATACGCATGATAAAATGAAGTTTCTGTTTACGACTGGCTGTTTGTCTTTATAGGACCTTTCACCATGAATTACACGGAGTCCAGCCCATTGGCAGGTTCTGCCTTGGCCATGGGAAGCGTCACACCCGTGCCTTCCAATGGGACCACTTGTGAGAACTGGAGAGAGGTCCATCATCTGGTGTTTCATGTCGCCAACATTTGTTTAGCCATTGGTTTGGTGATTCCAACCACTCTTCACCTCCACATGATACTGCTGAGAGGGATGTTGTCTGTAGGTGAGACACCCTGGGCTTGGGAGAACTGCGCACCTGCCGTCAGGTGGATTCTGTATTGGGAGCTTAGAGAGTCCTTTCTGGCTGGGTATATACCATAGAAGAACGTAAGTGTGTTATCTGCTCCGCTCAGCGGTCTGCCCACCAGCTTAGAACACGGGTCTCCGCACAGCCATCGTCGCCCTTTCGTAACTGGAAGCAGTGTGTGCCTTTCTATACCGTGCAGGTGCTGCATGTCAGAAGATCCATTGATGTGCAAGGATGTGGATGTTACAGCATATGACTCCGGTCCTAATTCCACTGCTTGCTAACTGTGTAGCTTGAGAAAATGATTTTACTTTTCTGTCACTTCAGTTTCCCCTTGTACCAAAGAAAGATAAAAATAAAACTACCTTGTAGGATTACTTGTGAGGATTAAGTAAATGCCTGATAGGATAGTGCCTGGCATGGAGGAGAAGTGTTATCTCTACCAGTATGATCTGAAAAGATACTTGCTATACCCAGGGAAATGATATTGAGAACAAAATCAATTCCCACATGCAGTAATTCAAGGATAGCATTTATATAGCATGTATAAAATATGAATATTTGTGACCCTATTAACTGATTAAGTTTATTCACATCAAAATATCGAAAGAATAAAGTTACTATTTTATCTAGTGATTATTGACAACTTCTTTTATGATTTCTCCCCTAGATTCTCCACATATTTATGTGCATTTCTGACACTTGTAATGCATCAGACAAAGATTAAGGAAGGCAGTATCCGCCATTGTGAAAACAGATGGGCAGTCACAATGTGGGGGTCAGATGAACACTGCAGGTTTAGACCCATGCTCCGGGCAGACGGAGGTGGCAGGCCCAGTGGTCACGCAAGGCAGGGTATCGTATGACAGTACAGCTGGCTTTGGGAAAATGACCATGTTTCTCTTCGGTGTGAGCATGGAGTAACCTGGTGAAGAGCCCAGAAGAGAAGAAGTCACAGCATAGCACAAAGAGAGACTATCTTTTTGTGTCTGAATATTCAAAAGATGACAAGAAGAGACAGAGAGGGTAGCTAGGAGCCAGCTGTTGGGATTTGGGGGGCCGTGTGATGTTTACTAAGGTAGGGATTGCAGAGGCAGGTTGTTCGATGGAGGGAACACATAATCCAGATTACAAATACTAAGACAAGAGTTCTGGATGTAAAACATACCCGAATGCATCTTTTAGCCCGGCACTTTTGTCTATAAAAGGAAACTGAGGCCCAAAAAGTATAAGGATGAGATTTATTTAGATGTTCCTCTGTGATGAAGTCCAGCATTTGCACATGTCTGACTTTTAATGTGAAAAATTAGCTTTCATGTGCACCTGAATCTATAAATTCATATCCAAGTGATCATTTCAGCTAAAACTGTGCTATATACTTGATTTTCCTTATAAAAATACAAAATAAGGATATTTAATATAAGGCAAGAGAATTGATAAGAAACATACAGGAAGAGGCCATTTGATAAATGGATAATCACTAAGGGAAAATTTGGGTCGGTAAAACATTTCAGTAAAATATTTGCTCTTGCCTGGGGATCTCACTCATTTGGTACAGGACTTACCCCAATTGCAGGAAGCCCTGGGTGAGGTCCCCAGTGCCCTGTCAACTAGGCATAGTAGAGCCCCGGGCACTCAGGACGTAGGATCAGAAAATCAGTGACATCCTCAGCCACACTGAAAGCTTAAAACTAGCCTGAGCTACGTGAAATCTTGTCTCAAAACACCACAGTAAATAAAATATTTGAGTTCACCCCTAATCATGATTGCAAAATAAAAGGCAGTATTCAATTCCTTACCATAATATGAGGTTTAAAAAAAGTGTGTGTGGGGCGGGGGGGGTAGGTATAGGATCTCACTCTATAGACCAGGTTGGCCTTAAAGTCACAAAGAGATCTGCCTGCCTCTGCCTCCCAAGTTCTAGGATTAAAGGTGTGGGCCCCCGCGCCCAGAGATGGATTCCAGACTTTAGAACATTGACAACGCAGTACAGTTGTTTCTAACAAGTAGGGCTTGCAAGTTTGTCGAAACCTTTTGGAAAACATTTCTTTGTGTTCTCTGAAGCTGTGGCATTCATTCTTTTCCTTCACCTTTAGCTCCAGCGTAAGTTAACCGTCATAAATGGAGAATTCTTTTCTATATTAGGGGTTGTCTTTGTTACTTACCAAAAACTATACCCTCAAGTGGGTGTGGTGGTGTGCAGCTGTAATAGGGAGGCAGAAAGACGTGGAGTTAAGGATAGCCTGGGCTACAAAGGGAGACACTGTCTCAGAAAATGTAAGATCTAGAGCTAGGGATGCGCGCAGTTATGAGAGTACTGTCTGCACCTCCACACTTCAGGTGGTACCCTGCAAAATGGAATATAGTGAACGAGAATGAGAACGGAAGATGTGGAGGGTGTGATGGTGTGTTAGTGTGGTGTTTGTGTTGGGGGTGGTGGAGGCGTGGGAATCTTTTTTTCAGGAATAGGATGAAAATAGTGTTCAGTGTAAGTACTTCTAAATCTGTTTGGTTCTAGGCAGAGGATTGTACTAAGCTGTTGGTGAATCTGTTCTGAGTGTCTAACATGCCGCCTCTGTTATTCAACAGGATGTACCCTTTATGTAGTCTGGGCCACTCTCTACCGATGTGCCTTGGATATAATGATCTGGAACTCAGTGTTCTTGGGTATCAATATTTTGCATCTTTCATATCTTTTGTACAAGAAAAGACCGGTAATTACTAAGTTTTTTTTAATTAGAGCGTGACTTTAAATATGAAAGCTTTTAAAAAGTGCTTCATTCAGACTTGCAAGTGAGCAGCTGACAGCCTTACTCCCTCTTGCATATTAAGAATATTGAGCTTTCTGTGTAAATGCTTGAGAGGAAAGCATTTGAAATCTGTGAAATTTGTTTAACAAATGAATTTTCCAAACTTTGACTCGCTAGAGCATGAACACATGACTAATACTGTCTTTTTTTTAGGCGTATATTATGTGATTATTTCCTGGCCTGCTGGTACTCAGTCATCATTTGGGAAGATCTTGCTTAATTATAAAACTACTGATAAGCAACTTCCATTTCATACTAATGATTTGAAGATAGTTCATTCCATTTTCTTAGTATAATGGCTATTATCTTTCTTGGGTCTAAAATATTCATGTAATGAAATCAGCACTTTTGGTGGATATTTGCCAGAATATTCATACTTTTTTTTTTATTATCAACTCTGTTTCACTTACTGTGTCGTCTTAATAAGACCAAGGCAGAAATAGAGCAAGCTTGAGAGAAGTGACACACGCCGGTGATCCCAGCACTTAGGAGTGGGTGGAGTGACAGTTGAAGGCCAGCCTGGTCCAAGAGTGAGTCTGAAGTCAGCTTGGAGCTGTGAATGAGGTTCCGAAGGAAGGAAAACAAGCAAGCAAAACAAAACATACCCTCCAAGAGTATAAAAAAACAAAGTAGAAACCAGCAGGGTTCATAGAAATCATTCCATACATGGTCATAGACAGTCCTAAGTGCAAGCATTCAGTCACCCAAGGCTATAATGCTCATCTCAGCTCTGTATTTAACATAGAAAACCGTTAGGAAATAGCACATTTCACACACAAATACAGACGGTATACATTGTGGGCACTCCGCTCCTCCATCCCCTCCCCACACACAGCCGCTCAGTTTGGGCTGCTCGTCTGTATTGGTCAGGTGTTTTCCTGCACTAGGCTGCGTGACCAATGAGACCTCAGTGATGCCTTTCTTCTCGCCCTCCTTACCTGTTGACTGGCAGCACTGAATCTAGCTAACGTTTCAGGGTCTCTGCTAAAGCGGCAGGCTCTCTTTGGACTGCATTCTCATGGCAGAGGGGACCGTGCAGAAGTTAGAGAAATGTCAGTCTGCTCAAGGGGCTGGAAGGTGGTGTGGTGGCTAAGAGCACTGGCTGCTCTTGCAGAGCTTAGTTCCTCAGCCACATAGTGGCTCACGGCCATCTGTAACTCCCACTCCAGGGGACTTAATGCACTAATCACACGTACTGCAGACCAATTACCCACACCCAAAATTAAAATCAAAAAGCGAGCAAGCAAAAAAAGAAGTTTCTTTAAAAAAAAAAATCTGTGTCACTTCTGCTCATCATTTCATTGGTCAGAGCCGCTGCATGGCCAAGCCTGCTAATGTTGGAGGTAGGGCAGAGTCATTCTCTTTTGGGACAGCAGACAATCGGGAACAATAGTATATAGTCCAGCCCTCTCACTGTTGTAGCCCTATGCACACTGAATATGCACAGAGAAACTTGATGAACAGATGCTTCCAAAGAAGAGAATTCAGACAATGTCACGAAGAAACCGCATCTTCAGCTGAGGTGTCAAGGGAGGCCAGGGCATGGACAGGTTTTACTGGATTGTAACAGGTCCTTTGTTCATCATTGTGCCATGGTAGATACTGTGTGGGCTGGAAGTTGGACAGACTTGCTCGAGCTGTGGAGTAGAGGAGGTAGAAAGTCTGATAATGAAGATGACAGTCCTTAATAACAACCTTTTCTGGAAACCCAGATCCACAGTCCCTGAGTTACCGACGTGATTAAAGCGCTAGAAAGAACATCTAGCCTCTGGGATCTTGGTTTATTTTTCTCTCTATCGTTTAAATAAATAAAGATGATTCTTCATCAAAAGGAAACGGGGACAGACTAGAGCGACATTAGGTAGCAGCAGATTTTGAACTGCAGCTCTGTAGCTTCAGGTCTCGTCTGAGCTTTCACTGGGACAGAGTTCATTCACAGTGCAGTACAGTCTTCCATGCACCCAATTATCCTGGCAGCCAGACATTGCATGCTGGGTCTGAGCGACTGAAGGGTGATTAGGACGGGCGCTGCACTGCTGTCGGTCGCCAGCCTTATTCATTAGAGGGATCTCAGGGCTGCATCGCTTAGGCCGGGGTGAGGCCACCATGCCAGAGCTCCCTACCCTTCTCTTCCTTTGCTTTTGAGTATGTACATGTGAGGCAGTGATTGCAGCCTTGAGTGTTGGCTTCCTGCCTTGGTGCATTGAATAATTACATGGAGATAAAATGCTTAATGCATGTTTGTAAGTTTGTTTTTCCATTAATTCTTAATTTCTCACTAGCATAATTAAAAGTTAAGGTAACTTCTTCTTTTGAAACATTGTGTTACGTACCGCTGCTAAGGTTAGGAAGTTGCGTGGTTTGACAAAACCCAAAAACTCAGCGGTTGCCTCATGTTGAGTAGAGAGGTGTGAGCATTGGAGTCACTTCAGCCTTCCCTGGTAGAGAATGAATCCCACCACTACTAATTCTCTAAGACCCCCACTGACCATGTCCAGCAAGCCACTCGTGTGTGCCATTGACTTGTTTATTCTTAAATCTATATCTCACCTTTGAGAGTCAGTGTTTGGGGACTGCAGGACCTTGGCATTGCTGTCTTCCAGGTCAAGATTGAAAAGGAACTGGGCGGCATCTATCACCGATTGTTTGAACCACTCCGTGTCCCTCCTGATTTGTTTAAAAGGTTAACTGGACAGTTTTGTATGATCCAGACCTTGCAAAAGGGCCAGACTTACGCCACAGAGGATAAAACTTCAGTTGATGATCGTCTTAGTATTCTTCTAAAGGGGAGGTAAGTGTTAACGGAAATCGGAATCCCCAGGTTGCTTTCCACCTTTTATAGCCTCTAGGAAGGAATACGTACAAGATGTTACCAGATAGTGTGCGATGTCATTTTGCAGTTGACGTTTGGGCTGCAGTGGAGCAGTGTGCCAAAGCTAGGTAGAGACCATAGTCCAGAATCAGCCTGAGCCCAACATTTTCTACAGTGAATATATTTTTAACCATGTTTACTTTTTGCTTGAAGTTAATGAGTCAAAATTGAAGTAGGTTTAAATTGAATTCAAGAACCTTATCACGTAGCACAGCTTTTTGAATATCACAGTACATATGGACGATCTGAGTGGAGAGTCACGGATGTTGCATGGGTATAATTTTTTCTGCTCCTTTGGTGGTGGTTTTAGTTGAGGTCGCAGGCTCCTGGGCTCATGTGACTCTGGCTAACTGGATCACTGGATGTGTGTCACTGTGTCTGCCTTGAAACATGGTTATCAACAGCATCCCTTTCCTTTCAGAAGTTTGCAGTGTACAAATTATATATTCACTCCAACTGTAAGAGTGACAGTAATGGTAACCGTGATCTGCATTAATAATGGACGCTGATTTTTTTCTTGTCTTTTAAAAAAATATTTGTGCTTCTGGGAGTGCTGAAAGCTCATTACTTGTAGAATCTTTAAAACTAGTGCAAATACACGACTATAATGTTTCAATGATTAAAAGGAATTACCTTGTTTTTGTGAAATGCTGTGCATCCGTTAACATTTTGACTTCTGTTACCAGAATGAAGGTCTCCTATCGTGGACATTTCCTGCATAACATTTACCCCTGTGCCTTCATAGATTCCCCAGAATTCAGATCAACCCAGATGCACAAAGGGGAGAAATTCCAGGTATGATTTGGCTTTGAGGAAGATTAAATCTCTTTGTATGTCTTTCAAATCAAGCAAAATGGGAACGTGCCATGGTTTCTTTTAAAAGGGAGGTAGCCACGTTGGTAGACATAGTATAATGGCATAAGGCAGGACGACAACAAACCCCACCTTTATCAGTGCTTACGCGGTGCACAACTGGAGGTGGCGGCCTGGAAAGCCACGCTCTAATCTAGACGCGGCACTGATGCTGTTATTTCTGGGGTGTGCATTTGCTTGCATAGTGTTTCGTTTTTCATGATTTTGGTCATTTAAATTTCTTAATATTTCCATTAAGAAAATTCATTGTTTGGGGGTCTGGGTGAGAGCACTTGCTGTTCTTCGAGAGGGCTTGGGTTTGTTTCCCAGCACCCACATGGCAGCTCACAAGGCTCTGTACTCCAGGCCCTGAGGATCGAATGCCCACTTCTGGCATTCGTGAGTTCACAAAAATAGCAGTAAATGCAATCTTTTTAAAAATTCAGTTTTATTATGAGAAAAATTCTATCACTTGAAGATAATTCATGTTCCTAAACACATCATTGATTACTTTTGTTAGGAAAACAAAAGGCTGGCTTTACTCCAGAGAAGTTACTTTAAAAAACCTTTCTACTCAGTTCATTCTTTTATGGTTAGTGACCACGTGAAAAGGCAAAGAGGAAATTCCTCATAGAATCAGCAGTTTGAATGCTGACTGTTCAGTTTAATTCTTTCTTATTTTTTTAAAAAAAAAATTGCTCCATTCTATTGCAGCTGGTTCTGGCTGTTTCTAAGTCTCCAGGCCTCCTGTTGGATTTGCTATCCTTAGGAACGTAGCCAAGAACATAAGTCCCTGGGTAAATAGCGCTGAGGAAATATTCTGGGCACAGGGTTGCTTTGACAGTGCGCGTTTCGTGGGAAATAGAATCGAAGAGAACGTCATCACAGAAGAAAGAGGACCTGCCAGCGTCCCTTGCTGGGGAATCTTATGGGCTCAGTTTGGGATGCCCTTCACTATATGGTGCCCTAGGCTGGAGATAAAGGGAAAGTATAGTTTCCTTTATTTCATTAGTGTTTCGGCTGTGCCCTGCTTCCTCTCTGCTCGCATAAAAGGCCTGGGTAATTGTGGAATTTGCTAAAGTTGGGCACATTAGCTAGAAGTCCTAGTTTAGGCTTACTGGCTGTGGGAGTTTCCATGAGAATGGCCCCTGTTAGTGAATCTGTTTGGGAAGGATTAGGAGGTGTGGTCCTGCTGGAGGAGTTGTGTCACTAGAAGTGGGCTTTGAGGTTTCAAAAGCCCAGGCCAGGCCCAGATTCTCTCTCTGCCTGCTGCTTGTGGATCAGAGTGTAAAGCTCTCAGCTACTGCTCCAGTCCAATGGCCTGGTGCCCCCTACTGTGATGATACGGAGCTAAGCCTTCGGAACTATAAACAAGCGCCCAATTAGATGCTTTCCAGTGTAAGAGTTGCCGTGGGCATGGCTGTAGAGCACCGACTAAGACACTCAGGATGCAGTTCTGTTCCTACACTGGTCATGCTTGACAGAGATGAAGAGAAGGCTGGTGCTGTGTCCAGATGCTCTGTATCCTTGGTCCTGTAAGACGTCATCCATGTCCCAGGGGGTCTGCTTCTATTTGAGCAATGTGTTTACCTACCGCCACCCATGAGCCAGAACAGGGCCACTTCTCTTTCCTCTGACCTTAAAGCTGCTTCTTCCCCCTTTGTCTGTTACACTTTCGTCTGTGTGAGCAGGCGGTTTTATGTAAGAATAACTCAGTCTCTTATTATCCTGAAGAGAGGATTCAGTTTAGGGCGGAAACTAAACCTTTGCTGCAGATGCTAGTGATCCCCAAGGAACCAGGTCTCCAAATATGTGCTTCCCTTCCACTGGGCTCCAAGTTATATTTGTAATTAAGCTAATGAAAAAGTTACTAACACTAACAAGCATTTTCCTTACTGGAGGCGGAGTCTCAGTAGTTGAGAATTGTTCTTAACTGACGTGATGATTTCAGAACGTGATGAAAACTGCAGCACCATAGCTGGATGAAGGACATGGATTCATCCCTGGTAATTCCAGCCAGCTCTCTTTGGCACAGGGTTTTGTATTTTGTGAGTTTGTGGCATTTTGCAATTGCCAGTAGCCAAAAACTACACTGCCATCCAGTCTGTGCCTATCACAGAGCCAAGTTCATCAGAATACACCCGGGGAGAGTGCTCTTTGACTGTTTATAAAGGTTTCTGTTGGTGGATGCTCAAGAGGGCAGTGTTCACAGTAGTGGTTTATGTATATTCTCACAGCTGCACACTGGAGTGCTATGCCTGTGGCCTCTTACTGGAGCACATTCCCGCCCTTCCCTGAGGGAATTCTGCTGGGGTCTTATGTTCGTTCAATTGTTGGATTACTTTGTTTGTCTGAGTCAGGGATTCCCGTGTCTCAGATTGGCCTTGAACTCTGTGTAGCCAAGGATCTCCGAGGACTTTGGATCTTCCTGCCTCTACCTCTTGGGTGTTGGGATTATGTTGGGTGTTAAACCAAACCCAGAGCTTGTATGTTAGGCCCGTCCTTTACCACTGAGCTACACTCTCAGCCCTCTATTTTTATTCATTGTTTTGGACACAGGGTCTTATTAATGCAGCCCAAGCTGGCCTTGAGCTCACTATGTAGTCCAGGTTGGCCTCAAACTACGGTTTTGATAGTCCTCTTACCTCAGCGTTCCGAGTGCTGGTATTCTAGTCATGTATCAGCACTCTAGGCTGTTACTTCTTTAAATTCATCCCGTGGTCAGGATGCTGATGGGCCTTACAATAGGGGAAAAGAGAAAAGAACTGCAGGGCACCATAGATCGGCACTTGGTAGATGCAGTAATAATTCCAATGCTACAGGCAAACTCACGGTAACAGAATGGACCCAACGCTCACTGTCTTTAGTGCTTGCTGTTGTGGGATCAGGCTGCCACTTAAAGCTCTTGATAGGGTCTTCAGTATCATTATTACAATAGTAGAAGTAGTGTTTTGTGTTTGGGTTTCTTTTTATTGCGTGAGCGTTTCTGATAAACGCTTTTCTTTTGATTCCATCCCAGGCTGCTGCTCTCCTATGGTCAGTCACATGCCATGATGCTGCAAACCTGAAAGCCAGTTTGAGGGAGAGGTCTTAGGAACACATGTCCGTGCTCTTGTGAAATAAATGAACATTAAATTTTAAATGGTAATTAAAGAAAATAGTACGTTCATGCCGGAGAGGTGGTGCTGAGGTTAAAAGCACTGGCTGCTCTTCCAGTGGACTTGGTTAAACTCCTCGTACCCACATGGCAGCTCAGGGTGATCTGTGATTAAAGTTCCAGAGATCTGATGCCCTCCTCTGGCTCCCATGGCACCAGGCACAGTGGTGCACAGGACATACAGACAGGCAAAGCAGCTGTATTCTTCAAACAAGGATCTTGTCTTTTGAAAAAACATTAATATCAATTTATTGTGTGTATGTGTGTGTGGTATGTGTGCAGCGGTGCATCCTTCTGTGTATGAACAGAGGCTCCACCGTGCTCCTCCCTGTCACTCGGCCTTGTCCCTGTAGGACAGGATCTCCCAGCAAGTCCAGGGATCCTTCTGTTTCTGCCCTCCATAGTGCTAGGATTACCAGCATCTGGGGCCACACCCAGCTTTTTATGTAGACACTGGGATTTGAACTCTGTTTTTATGCCTAATTGGTAAGCACTTCTACCACTGAGCATGTCTTCACTTCCCCATCTATGTGTGTTAGACAGCATCTGACAGTGGAGCTCAGTCTGGCCCAGCACTCACTGTGTAGCCCAGGCTGGCTCCAAATGTATTATCCTGCTTTAGCCTCTTGAGTGTTAGGATTCCAGGCATAGGATACCGTGCCTGCCCCCTCCTGAATCTTGTCTTTTTAAAAGGTTTTTATGCTTGTATGTCTATATCTGTGTGCACATTCATATGCAACTGCTCATGAGAGAGGAGGGTGTCAACCACCCCAGAACTGAAGTCACAGGTGTGGGTCGTGGAAACTGAACTCAGGTCCTTTCTTAAGCACTAAGGCGTCTGTTCAGCCCTGGATCTTGTCTTTCTTTTTCAGCACTGTAACTTGATGGTATTTGGCAGGAAGTGTCTTTGTCATAGTGTATACTGATAAAGGGTGTCTCTTGGCATTTTGTGGAGTCTTAAGCTGCACTTCTTAAATCCAGATGTTTTTGGTTTTCATGAAGCCTCTTATGATGTAATGAATGCAAACTTTATTTTTCTGGGACCAGTGGCTCACTTTTGGAAGTAACTAATTATTCTGATTTTCCAAAGCTCCAACTTCAGCCTCTTGGTATAAGGGTCCCGCGAAGCTGGGAGATTTCTCTTTTTTTTCTCTCTCTGTAGACCTGAATCCTCCTTTGACATCTGAAATGAAAACTCTTTCGGAAATATTTGTGCTGAAGCCCAGATAAGATTTCTTGTCAATTTAATTAGCTTTTTCTAATCTCCAGCTGGGCCAGGCTGATCTGGTGCTGGGATGTAAAATGGACTTTACTGTCCAGTGTCTGCTTGTGTCAACTCCTTTCTGTGAGTGTGGGTAGGCCCCCACTCTGTGATGAAGCCAGGCATTCAAACCTCAGTACACACGGCCCCCATCACTGGTTTGATCAGGAGTCCACACATATGTGTCAGCAGATGAGCTTGACCTCTAGAATATGAGTGTCATCATGAAGGAAGAGAAAGCAGACTGAGTATTTGCATGGTAGGTAGGAGGGGCTTCTAGCTCCTGAGCCCTGAGAACATGGAGAGGGGGGTTAGAGAATTGCTTGAGCTCTCTAGTACTACGATAGTGTCCACCCTTGCTTTCCCATATTTCACTACTTACATGAGAGGAAATGGTTTCTCGGCTCTGGGCTCGTTTGAGAACCTAGTTCAATAGGCTGCCTTGGAGCTAGCCTTGAAACCCATAGCAGAAGGTCGCTCACCGCTTGTTCTCATCAGTAGCTTACCTGAACCTTTGAATCGTCCTCAGAGTATGTTTATAATTTGGGTGAAGAGTTTTTCATATCTTTACAGAGCTAATCTCAAGTGCTGGTGGTGTAGATCAATGGTAGGCAACTAGCTCAGTGGTGGAACATTGTAGCTCAGTGGTGGAACATTGTAGCTCGGTGGTGGAACATTGTAGCTCTGTGGTGGAACATTGTAGCTCGGTGGTGGAACGTTGTAGCTCGGTGGTGGAACATTGTAGCTCGGTGGTGGAACATTGTAGCTCGGTGGTGGAACATTGTAGCTCGGTGGTGGAACATTGTAGCTCGGTGGTGGAACATTGTAGCTCGGTGGTGGAACATTGTAGCTCGGTGGCAGGCAGCTAGCTCAGTGGTAGAATATTTATGGGTTTGAGTCCCAGAGTGAGTTGTAGATGCATGCATGCGCGTGCGCGCATGCACGCGCGCACACACACACGTCTTTCTCCTGAGTTCATTTGTATGAACATCTATCTTTAAACTTCTTCGTAAGCCACAGCAGGCAAAGAGATATTTTACCATAAATAATATATCCCATTGCAACATCCACAGCAGAATTGACATGATGGCCATTCTTGTGTCCTGAGACAGCACAAACCAATAAATAAATAAATAAATAAAACAAACTCAGAGAAGTTGCCTGGATGTAGTCTACTGATGAGTTTCCTTAAACATATTTCTATGTAGTGTGCTAGATTATAAATAATTTGATAAAGGTATCAATGATAGTGTCTGCTGGTGTTCTGTCAATTTAATAAGTTCATAATTTATATATGTAGATGCGCTTTTTCCTAGTGTGTTGGTCTTCTCGACAGGTCACCATTGTTGCAGATGATAACTGCAGGTTCTTATGCTGGTCAAGAGAAAGACTGACTTACTTTCTGGAGTCCGAGCCTTTCCTGTATGAGATCTTCAGGTATCTTATAGGAAAAGACATAACAAACAAGCTCTACTCACTGAATGATCCTACCTTAAATGATAAAGTAAGTGCTTTTCTGATTCTTTTGGTCAAATAAACATGTGTGCTTTCCGGAATTCTCATTCATAAACTTCAGGGGGGATAGTTGTAACGGAGAGACTCTATAGCAAGTGTTTTTTTAAGGCAAGGAAATATTTTGTGATTATTACCATTGCCGTAGCTTGGCCTGTTAAGGACCACATTGATGGGATGGAGGACTGTCCTTCCCAGAAGTCTTCTAAGCAGACTAAGGAGGATGGGAAGGAGTGGGCTTGGAGGTGTGGAAAGGCAGAGCTACAAGAAGACTAGCAGTTGGCATTTAACCTTGATGTCCTCTCCATCTTCCCCGGATCCAGAGACCAGAGAAAATGGATCTTTAGTGCTTTAGGCAGTATAGAAGGGAATTAAAACACTTACAGATGAGGCCTTTGCAAACATTCTTCCTGTGGCACACATTGCCTACCGGGAACACTGAATTTGCTGTTCCTCTTAGGCCACCATTTCCAGGTGCTTCTCACTGTAGGTTAGGGCGGGGCTAAGGCACAGCGATATGGGGGGGGTGCTTCCTATTATGTGTGAGGCCTTGGTTTTGATCCCTAGCACCACCAAAAACAAGACGTGCTTACTATTATAGATGGCTAAATAGATTATTCGTATTTGTAAGTTTTAGAATAACGTATTTAAAGTTACAGCAAATAATAACCACAGCAGACATTTATGGAGCACTTACCACTTTTTTTTTTGTTTTAGCACTAACTTATATCAAGGGAAAGTACCTGCCCCTTACAGGGAATGCATGAGTCAATGGCTGTAAACCTCAGGCCGTGTGGTAACTTTGCTTTGTAGAAAGTTAAGAAATTGGAGCCCCAGATGAGCCTGTGCACACAGATCTCCATGCTGGAGATGAGGAACAGCATCGCTAGCTCCAGTGATGGCGAGGAAGGCCTCCACCACTTCCTGCGGAGCTCCTCCAGCACATCCTCTCTCCGTGAGTCCCCTCAACCCTGACTCTCTGCCGCTCTGGTGGATGTCACCACGACACACACATCGTGCATGATGAGTAACGACTTGGTAGCCTCAAGGAGTTACTGCCCTGTGTTTGATATAGTCCAAAGTCCAGTTTTAGAGCTCTTGTTTCTGCTTCTGAAACATTTCCCTTCTTTTGCCATGTTTGGCTTACATTTTGGCCCAATGACAAGGTGTACAAGCGTCCATGTGGTTGGGTGGCTGCTTGGCATTGTGGTTCTCATGGCTGTAGCTCTGGTGAAAGACAGACATGGCAGTGTGTGAGTTTATGAGCAGCTAGCTGCTGGCTGCTCATCCCAGCGTGTACCTGAGACTTAGAAAGTGAGCAGGCCTCAGGGTGTTCTTGAGGATGACCACTCTGCACGTATGTGAGCTACATCCACACACCACTCACAAAGTAGGTTCCCAAGACTCTCCTACATACTTTATACCCGTATAGATGACACAGGTCACACAGATGGTCAAAATTACTAAAATGAGAGAAACAAATTATTTTAAGAATTCATTGCTTGAAATTTAAGAATTAGTTTGAAAGTAGGAGAGCTTTGGATCAATTGATATAAAACTGCATAGAAGCAGGTGAATTCTTCCATTGCGTAACTGAAAACTATTCAGCTGTCCGTCCATGCTTCTAAGCAAAGATGTCAGAATTCAGATGCTCGTGCACCACTGTCTGTGTAAGTGATCATGTGACTTTGCATGCTTACATGAACTGGGTTATCATTCTAAGTATCGCACCACGAGAAGAGGTTGGAATTTACAAGTTGTATAATTGGCATTTGGGAGAGGCAGAACTTTGCATCTTCTTTCTAGTGTTTCTTTTGGGTTGGCCTGAGGATTAAACTGACCCAAGGCAGATTAACAAGAAAAAAAGCCACACACATTAATCATAGAAATTTTAGGTGGCATGGGAAGACCCAAAGAAACAGGTAGGGTCAGATGCTTGTGTGTGCCAATTGGAAGAAATATAGTCAAGTGGTGAAGCAACTGAGTTGGGGCAGAGTTAGATATAATAGTTATTTATATGAGGCTTGCACAGAATCCTGGCCCAGCGTCCCGCCTTTGATTAGGAATGCTGCTTTTTTTCTAGCATAGGAACGGCCCCTTTTACCGAAGAACTTGTCTGCTTGTCAGAAACGAGAAGGACAGAGTGAGCTGTTTAAGGTATTTTTAAACCCCAAACAGTCAATGCACAGACAGCTTTGACTCCTTTAGCTAGAAGCTTCTAAGCCAAAGTCTAGATAGAAATATGCCACAGACCTAAAGGGGACTTCAAGGGCAACACACATGAGAAATTAAAGATGGCTGTGTTTTATTCCAGTACAGCATAGTTTAGTGTCGAATGAGGCTTGTGAGAGGCTGGGTGTTGCTTGTGCCAGGCCCTCCCTAGTCTGGGAGCTGGCCAGGGGGAGAACATCAGCACCACAGGCACTCCGTGACTCATAAAGCTCCACCCCCAGAGTGGCAGGTACATGTTCCCTTGACAGTGGATACCATTCAGCTAGCACCGCCCCTGTGGGCAGGTCATCAAATCTTGCCGTGCAGAAGGGCTGCTGAGAGTGGGAGACCAGATCCTAGACCAGTGACCTGATCTAGCTCAATGACAGTTAACGGTACAGATGAGGGAGTTGACGATATTCAGTGCTTTGCTTTCCACAGCAGTACATGCTGGGATGCAGATGGAGGGCTCCATTCCAACTATCCACCCGCCCAGCAGGTCCTAAGTCACTCCAGGGTCTTGAAGAGGCACTATCTGAAAGACACGGGAGGAAAGAGAAACTGATGCCAAGCAGTAGTTTGTCAAGGCATCCGTTTATTGAAGCAAGTTTCGTGTCTTAAATACTCCTCAGCAAGGAGCTCGGGCAGGGGGAACTGAGGAAAGGGGGAAGGGGGAAGGGAAGGAGGGGCTCGGTAGCTAGGCAACTAAGCGGGGCAGTTTGGCAGCTAAGCAGGGCAGTTGCAAGGTCAGTGGCTAGAACACCTGCTGTTAGTGATAAGCAGCAAGCGAGGAAGACACTCTGTGGTGCTTTCCAGAGCTTGAGTCTCCAGGGTCAGCACGTAATGTTTTGGCTAACTTTAAGTTTTCTGTCTCAAGATTTTTACTTCAACGCCCTGTGAGATGTGAGAAAGGAGAAGCCTGAAATGGCTCCTGACAAACTATAAACTCAGACTTGTAAGATCAAATTGATCCTCAGCAAAGACTACTGCCCTTTGGGAAAAGAAAAGGGGCATGGATTTGTTGAAGGCCAACTTCCAAGGAGACAGGACACAATCTCAGCTGTCCCCTGACCAGCTAGCTACCTGGCAAAGGAATTTAAGCAACTAGACTAAGACAAGATGGGGAGCTCATGATTGTCACTGTGAGTCTTGATGGGATGGTTGGCCACTGGAAGCTGGTCCAGGTAAATCTATAGATGAGTCAGAGTGGTCGGTCAGTCCTCGAGCATCATCTGTGAAACCATTCTCCTTCCTCTCTGCTTCTCAAAACTTGGTTCTGTGAGGCTGTCATGGTCATTTAGGTCCATCCCAAGGTCCTGATCAATAGTTTGAATAGCTTTCAGATACAGAAAAGTTGCTGTTTTCAAACAGGCTCAGTTTCAGACTTACTTCTTGTGCTTTGTGATTGCTAGGTCTGAGTCAGTCGGAGCAGTTACTATGCCAACCAACAGGGGTGGGTATGTGTGTGTGTGTGTGTGTGTGTGTGCGCGCGCGCTCACGTGAGAGGGCATGTATGTGCAATGTTGAGGACCAGCCTCAACCAAAATACCTCTTACAAGGGTGGGGTGTGGAAATTTAGAAATATAAGGAAAGAATGCGGAGACGCGTGAAATATAACAGAACAGAAACCATAAAATAATACCAAGAGGGCATTCCAGTGATTACAGAAATCGCCTGCATTTATTTTTTCATAGCTTTTATATGCAATGTAAACTGGAGGGGAGTGAGCCAGGGAAGGGAGAGAAGGTAATGAAAGACTTTATTAACATGATAGGTAGGGCAACTCACACAGTTAGTTGCTTTATCACTCTGAGACATCAAATTATTAACATTCTGTTGTCTAGGTAGTGAAGCTGCTCTAGATCACATATCCTGAAGGCAGCCCCTCTCCAGGTGACCTCATAGTTACAAAAGAAGGAGCATCAGGCGGTGGTGGCACATGCCTTTAATCCCAGCACTCGGGAGGCAGAGACAGGCAGATCTCTGTGAGTTCAAGGCCAGTCTGGTCTACAAGAGCTAGAGCCATGACAGGCTCCAAAGCTACAGAGAAACCCTGTCTCAAAAAAACCAAAAGAAGAAGGAGCAGAAGTACACTTGCATATCCTGACCACATGTCAGGATGGCATGGACCTACTTGAATGAGCTATTTTAATGTTAAAAGAACCAAGCAATCACATCCTGAATTGGGACATGCAACTACACTTGTTGATCATTTGAGCAACCTCCAACTCTGATCGATGACAAGGTGGAAATGGGCCCATATTTTTGGGCCTCCACAGTGCAGTCTCTCAGTTTATAGGCTCCCTGCTCCTTCTCCTTAAACATTTTTTACTTACAGAATATTGACTCCTCTTTTACATTATTTTGAACAGGGCCCCAGGTATCACAGGCTGGCCTTGAACCTCTTCTTCCTGCCTCTATCTTCCATACCTCCCAAGTTCTGGGATTATAGATGAGTGCCATCCTACCTGATTTTTTTTACACTGCCAGGGATAAACTCAGGTGAACCCTGTACCAACTATTTCCCAACATTAGGACATTGGCTCTTAAGCATTCCTCTGGATCACTTGGAATTGCGTGACAGCTCCTGATACAGCACTGTGGCTTGGGAGTTCACTTTTGAACACATTCCCACCTGATAGTTTGCTAGGGAGGCTGTAGAACCCCTGGATTCTGGAATTCTGCTATCCATGTCTTGAGGGAGTGGTTACAGTGGTCTCGTTGGTCTTGTCTAATAGTATCTCATGCTTTGGACATGCATGGAACACTGCAGGTATATTATTTCTAAAGACGTTGGCCGGGATGCTGTGTAACACCACAAGCATTGCAGCATCTGTGTTACACAGCAGATATGCAGTTAGAGACAAACGCAGTTCGCAAAGAGGTGAAGAGAAATGAACTGTTTCAATGAAATTACTGCCACGCTTCCTTCTTATACTGTGCTCTCTTTGTGTCTCAGTGCCAGAGTCACGGCAAGATCTGTACTCTCTACCACAAAGACTCCATCCATGTCCTGCTTCAAACTGTCACTCAAAGAGAAAAAGGCATTGAGATAGCCTGAGAAAGTTCAGCCCTGTTGTTATTCAGGAGCTCGTAATCCTCTTAACTGTTTTGACTCTCCTGTCGCTTCGTTTGCCATGTTCCAAGTTTTCATGTGTAACTGTGAGACAGAAGAGAGGGGTCAAGTTAGCCATAGTGTATAAGTGGACAGTATATAAGTGGACATCTGTATGAACTGGCTTCTTTCTGCTGCCTGGTTAGTGTTGCTTCATCGTAAGGGAAACTTGTCGTGATGTCTTCTGACTTCAGCTCCCTACAGTCAGGTCCAAGTGCTCCGTCTTCCTCTTGTCTCTCACACAGATTGATTGTATCTGGTACTTCTGTCACTGGTAAGTGTGGCCAAGCATAGACGTTGTCATGGCAACAAGAGAGCCTGTTTCATTTCTCTGAATGTGGAAGAATTTTGTTTTAATTTAATTGGAATTAAATAACAGTTGCTTTGTTTCTCTGATTCTCAAACCATAAGATAATTTGGATATCATCATTTGGGGCTCATCTTTGAATGAGTTTGTTACTTTAAACCATTTTTTTCCTGAGATAGAATTAATATTTATGATGATATTAAAGGTATTTTGAAGTAAGAGATTTCTTACTGAGGAAAAGGCTTTGTTTTGTGTCAGGGTGTTGCCATAGGCAAGGTAACCCATGAGTGAATTGTGCAGACATGCGTGGCTCCCATCAGTT